TACAAGGCCAGCCTAGGCAGCAAAGTGAGATCCTGTCTCAATAATAATAGTAATGATAATGATGATATCTAATTCTAACATCAGCATCTCATTCCTGATTCTAAAATAAGACAGCTAGGCTCATTAAGTACGTCAAGAAGCTCAAGGAACCAAGACAAAGTCTTAGGTTCTGTGTTAGGCAGACTTTTTGTTGCTATGACAAATACCTGAGAAAAACAGCTTAAAGGAGGAAAAATTCTTTTGGCTCACAGTTTCGAAGTTTCAGTCTATGGTTCACTTGCTCCAACACTGTGGGCTTCTGGTAAGGCAGACCATAATGGCAGCAGGACTGTGTGAGGAGGAGGAGGCTGTTCTCTTGGCAAACAGGAGAGAGCAAGCATGCCTGTGCTAGTGATCTTACTCATCTTTCCCCTTTTATTCCATCCGGGCCCCCAGCCTATTGGAAGGTGTTGCCCACATTCAGGGGGTGGGGGTGTCTCTTCCCCTGATTTGCTGTCCCAGATGTCAATATCTCTGGAAAGCCTCCACAGACACAACCAAAAGTATGCTTTATTAATCTAAGCATCTTTCAACCCAATCAAGTTGACAATTAAGATTAACCATCACAGATGCACATTATGTCTTGAGCTAAGGGTTCTATTATCATTTGAACCAATTAACACATACATGGAATACCTATTATACAATAGGGTCCTGCAGGAGATTACAAAAAAACACCATAATCCAAGCCCTTTCCTAAAGGATGTGACTATCTAAAATCTAATTTAAAAAAGATACAGATTCAAGGAAGTAAGATCACAAAACATCAGGGGGCTGATGAGTATTCCCTCAGAGGGACCTGAACTATGTCTTGGGGAGAGGTTTTTTTTTTTTTTTTGTCTTTTCTTTTTTGGTGCTGGGATCAAACCCAGGGCCTCACGCTGAACTATGTCTTGAGGGATGGAGAGAGTGTGGATGTATAGGGAAGGGAACAAGTAAGGGTGTACTAGGCAGTGAATCTGCAATGTGAAAGAGCTAAGATAAAGGTGGGAATGCACTTGGGAGTTAGGGCACACCCTACTCAAGGCATTCAAGAAAACAGAGAAGAACTGGCATTGTGTACCTATAATACCAGCTGCACAGGAGAGCTGAGGCAAGAGGATCACTAGTTTAAGACTAGTCTAGGCAACATAGTGAAACCTGTCTCAAAAAAAAAAAAAAAAAAGGCATATGGAGATAGAGGCTACAACTATGAAGTGTGCAGACATACATTTGAACTCCTAATTCTGTCACTTTCTAGACTGGAAAAGTTATTTAGACCCCTCTTTCTTCTGTTTCTTCAATAGCAGCAATTATAGTACCTAGTTTAAAAGACTGTTGCTCAGAATAAATTAAATTATAATGTACACTGCTACAGGATCTGGAAGTTACTAAGAAGTCACTAGTTACCAAAAATATTATCAATAAAGATGAAAAACATATTGGAATTATAAAAGGTCTTGAATATCATACCAAGGTGGAATTTGAATTAAACTTGATAGTGGCAAGCCAAAATTTTGTGGCGGGAAATGAGGTAGTGAGGTTTTCTTTCTCCCTCCCTTTTTCTCTGTCTCTGTCTCTCTCTCTCTCTCTGTCTCTCTCTGTCTCTCTCTGTCTCTTTCTCTCTCTCTCTCACTCTTTCTTTCCTTATATTTGTGGTGCTGGGGAATAAATATGGGTCTTGCACATACTAGGCAAGTGCTCTTCCGCTAAGCTACCATTGAGGTTTTAGAAAGGAAATCTGACAGGAAGATTAGAATGGGTTGATTACAGAGGAAACACTGAAAGCTGGGACCTATTTAGGCAAAGGTTCAGACACATAAGAATCTAAACAAGGGAAGGGTACTGATAATGGGAACACAAAAAGCAAATCGATGAGAAAGGCAGACTCCTACTAGGACTTAATTAATAAATAAAAGGGTGAGACACTAAACTGTACACTGAGAAAATAGTTAAGATGGTAATTTTTATGTTATATGTATCTTACCACAATTTTAAAAAGGTGATAGGAAAGTATTACAAAGGAAAAGGGGAAATCCAAAATTAATTTTAACCCAAGTAACTGGGAAAATCAAAGATACCAATAAGAAAACGCACAGAAGGGCTCCATTGGAGAAGAGGATTCTACATTCTGGTTAAGTGTTAAGAAAAGAAAAAGTAAGATATGCTGAGAGGCAAGACTGGTGCTCACTCACTGATCTAACAAAAGCAATCAGTGGGAAAGAGAACACACTATCACACATGAATGCACTAACAGACCCAAATCACAACTACTTGGTCTTTTTTTTTTTCCTCATCCCAGCGACTGGTCCTTTTAAAACCTAAGCATGTCCCTCTACTGTCAAAACCCTCCAATGGCTCTCCACTTCATTTTGAGTAAAATGCAGTCTTCAGTGTCCTATAACATCACTAATGTCTTTTCCCCTTTCACTCTATTCCAGCCACTCTGGCCTTCTTGCTGCTCTGGGGAATGCAGGGCACAAAGCTGTCTCAGATCTTTTGCATGGTCTGCTCCCTCTTCCCCTAAATTTCTCACTCTTCCAAGTCCTTGATAAAATGCCTCAATGAAGCCCACCTTGCCCACTTCCTTAGTTATTGTATTTTAAGTTTTTTAATTGCAAATTGACAAATTAATTATGTATATTTATGGAGACAAAGTGATAATGGCTTCTGAATACAACACAGAATAATTAAAACAAGCTAATTAACAAATTTCAACACCTCAAATACTTATTTCTAGGGGGGAGAATTGAGCACCTATTTAAAGTTGAAATTTATACCCCTTTACCCTGCACTTACTTTTGCTTCCACATCACCAGTCTACTTTATAAAATTTGCTTACTGATTATGCCTGTGGTTTATCATCTGCACCCTCCCCCACTGAAATTAACTCCAGGTGGTTAGGAATCTGTTTTATTGTACCTCCACTCCCAAGAACAGTGTCTGCTCTGTAAGTATTTGAGTCAGTAGATAATATTTATTTGGCTCTTCCATACCAGTTCTAAAGAAGTTCTCTGGCTCTAACAACCAGGATGCTTAAGTAATCTCATTCCAACAGCTCAGGTCCTGGGGTTCCTCTCGGGTCCATGGCTCCACCTGCCCATGGGCTCCATGCTCTACTTATGTCCAACCTGATCCAGTCTCTGGCCCACCAGGATCATGCCCCAGATACTAGGATCCAAGCGCAGGAGAGACCACGCTGCCCAGCAGGTTCAGCAACTGGAAGGTGCTGTACCAGCTGCAAGGTCCAGGGAAGAGGACCCAGCAGGGGTGGCCTGGGGTCCAGCATCAGCTTGTAGGCTGGCTGTAGGTCCACAGCAGGGATCCATAGCACAGTGAGCACAAGCAGTAGTCATGTGAAGTTCCCCACACACACACTCCCTGCTGGCCAGGGCTGCACTGTGACTAATTAGTCTTTACTATAGCAGAAGTGTAGATGGACATCATGACTTGGTGATTCTACTTAATACAGACCGAGAAGAAAAAATAGCAACCTCTAAGGCATCCCCCATACCAGGGAACAATAAAAAGAAGCCATTACCACCACTGATTTTATTCATCTTATACCAATGACTGTAATACAACAGCACCCCTCATAATCCTGTAATTCTGGCCCCATTTATTCTATACTGTAAGGTTAATTCATTCAACCTGTTCTCCATATGTCCCTTAAATGTTCACAGTGAAACTGTATGCTTCTCTAGAAATGCTACAACTTTTTAATTTTTTGTACATTTTTCCTTGAAGAACATGCATGTGAAAAACATATAAGCTTCATTTTCACAAAGTGAACACCAATACCTAAACCAAGAAAGAAAACATTATAAGCATCCTAAAAGCTCCTTCATATCCTAGCCAAACCCTTTCCTCAACCCTCCCAAGCGTAGTCAACTTCCTGACTTCTGATACCACAAATTAAATTCACCCATTTTTGAAACTGATGTAAACGAAATCAGGTATGCACCACTAGTGTCTGGATTCCTTTGCGCAACATCATATTAATGAGATTCGCAAAACCCTGTTTTTGTTGTTTTTTTGTTGGTACTGGTCTTTGAACTCAGGCCCCTGTTCCTGCTAGGGAAGCACTCTACCACTTGAACCAAGTCTCTAGTCATTTTTGCTTTGGTTATTTTTTGAAATAGGGTCTCATCTTTCTGCCAGGCTGGCCTGAACCATGATTTTCCTATTTATAGTTCTCTGTAGCTGAGATGACAGGAACATGGTACCATGTTCAGTTTTCTTATTGGTCAAAATGGGGTCTTGTGAACTTTTTACCTGGGCTGGCCTTGAACACAATCCTTCTGATCTCTGCCTCCCAAGTAGCTAGGATTATAGACAGGCATAAATCACTGTACCTGGCTAAGATTCACAAATTTTTATATGTAGCTTTAGTTTGTTCATTCTAACCACCACTTAATATTTCTTGTGTGATTATGTCACAACTTGTTTACTCAATCTACTGGTGATAGGCATTTGGAAAATTCCAGTTTGGACTCTTCATCCATATGTTTTGGTGACTACAGTAAGCCCGCCTTATTTGTGGATTTATTACACAAGATTTGACCAAGCACAGTCTAAATAAATAGATAACTAATCAAAAGAAATTTCAAAAAAAAATTTTAATTCCTGTGTGCACCTGATGCAGTTCAGTTGATGTGGAGAAGCTCTGTCATTTCCATGTTATAATCAGTTGTTTTTAAATTGCTGTGTGATCTGCTGAGTGTTTCCCTACCCTTAATTTTGTGAAAATTTATCTCCCAAAAAAGCAAATGATGCTCAACGAGCAAGGTAAAAGTTATGGTAATTCTCCCAAGCCAAAAAGGGCACCTAGTGCTGGGGATGTAACTCAGTGGTTTAGTGTTTGCCTAACGTGAGAGGCCCTGGGTTCTATCCCCAGTAACATAAATAAACAAATAAGGCACCTAATATGCTTAATTGAAGTGATAAAGTGAAAATTTTAGATTTGTTTAAATCCAGTTGTATGTTTAGCAGAAGTTGGATGACATTATGGAAAAATGAATCATGCATCCATAATACAGCACTGGCTCTACGCACCCTGAGTAATTGTAGTTTTTCCTCAACAACAGTCTCTTTGGCACCATGTTTCCCACGGATACCAGTGGTTTACTGTATATGCACACAGTTCTGTTGTGCATAAATATAAGAGTGGAAGTGCTAAGTCAAAGGACATGCATTTGTTCAACTTTAGAAGAGAATTAAAGAACTTTTTTGTAAAGGTCTTTATATATGAACAATCATTGATTCATAAAAAGGTGCTAATTTCAAAAGGCATTTTCAGGAAGAAAAGCACCCTGAAGTAGACAGCTGATCCACATGGTTCCCAAAGGAGGCAATTCACTTTAGAATATTTTCACCAGCAATTTAGCATATGATGCTTCAAATTTGTCTTTTTTAGAGCTAATGTAAAAATTAAGAAACAATTCAAGAGTCACTAATATCAATAAGGTAAGGTAACAAGATCTTGGACATGTTACGGGGAGATATAAATGTTGCAAGTCAGAACTCTGTAGTATCTTTTTTATCAGAATATTAGAAACTATAAGGGACTTCAGACCTTGTCCAACTATAGGCGATCACATAAATGCCTTCCACCTCAATAAACATGCTAATAAAACTTAATTTATCAATCCCCAGTACTGATATATATATAGAGAGAAAGACAGAGAGAGAGAGAGACAAAGAGAGACAGAAAGAGAGTCATTTAATCCTAGAACAGAAAAAGACAAAAACATTGGGAATCTGAGTAAAATATGGGCTTTAGTTAAGAGTGGTAGATGAAGATTGGTTGATTAATTGCAACAAATGTGCCATAGTAATGTAAGATATTAATAACAGGGAAGGCAGGAAGGGGTGATATACGGGAATTCAGTGTACTATCTTCACTACTTATTTGTAAGTAAAACAGTTCTAAAACAACATTTTTAAATGTCCATTTAAAACTATGCAACATAATCTGCAGATTCTAATGCACATGCTAAGAGCTATTAGACAGACAGACACAGACACACACACACACACACTTTCTGTCTATGAGCTTAGATTTAGATACACAGACATGTAAGGAAAGCATTCTACCTACGCCAATTTTGGTTTTGCACTTAGCTATACAATTATGAACAAGGGTTGGGCTTCCTTTTTTATTCCATCTAATCTAACCTTTCTGAGTTGTATATATAAACAATGATTCCTTAAGACGCAATCCTTCAGTAATCTTCAAATAACAACGACAAAACAAAACAAAAAACAAATTTCAAGTGAGGTTAATATTCTAAAAATCACATCTTTGTAGTTTGAACCATCAAGTTTTTGCGTATACTTCAGGGGGAGTAAACAAAAAGAAACAGATGCCTTTCAGCTACTAGCAGACCTAGAGGAAGGGACCCTGGACAAGGAGGCAGGAGACCTAACCTCTAGTTTCAGCCCCACCACTAATTTGCACTGTGTCCTCAAACATCTCTAGTATTCAACTCATCATTTCAAGTCTATTTTAACTATAATGATTCTTCCATGGATCAAGAGGTACTGTCATTATCACTTTTTGGCTATGCTAGACATCATAGTTAAATCTTTTATCCTTACCTGTTCATAAAATCTTTTAGAGAATCTAAAAAAATAACATCCTGTCACCAAATGAGTGCATAAGCAGAGAGAAACAGAAAGAGAGAATATAATGAATAAAAGAAAACACTGGACTGCCAGCACAGCTTTCCATTTCATTAACTTTATGTTAATAATCATATCACTACATATATTGCAAATATTTACTTACTAGTCGGCATTATTTTTGCATAGGTCTAGGCTTTCTTGGTTTTATCCTCAGAAGCTTATTTAAAATCAATTGTGATTTTTGTTTATTTTATTTTTACGGTACTGGGGTTTGAACTCAGGGCTTCACGCCTCCAGCTCAACTATGGTTTTAGCAAGTTTATATCCAAATAAAATTTGAAGTTTGGCTCTTCTACAGTAGGAGTTGACTTTTTATAAACTTTTTATAAAGAGTCAGATAATAAATATTTTAGATTTTTTTGAACCAAATGGTCTCTGTGGCAACAACTCAATTCTGTTGACAATATATAAATGAATGGTCCGTATTTGGATAAACTTTTATTTACAAAAACAAGCAACAAATTCAGGCTATATACAGACTGACAATCCCTGTGCTATAATAATGGGGCAGGAAAGTCAACTGGAAAGATAAGATTTTGTAAGCCACATCACAAGTTCACACTAAAATAAACTGTTTTGTTTGCGGGGGAAAATGCTTATGAATCATGATCTTCACATACCTGCGAATGTTCAAGTTTCCCCTGTGTGAACAGGTCACGTCACCAATACCTAAGACAGAGCAGGAAAACACTCTCCCTTACAAGGTTGTTATGACATAACAGGGGATGTGCTAATTTATATAGGCAAAATTTACAAGACGACCTGCAAAAGTAAAATACCAGGTTTTAGCAAGTTTAGCAATAAACACAGAAACCCAAACCTGATGGTCAACCATGATTCCCTTGATACATTAGGCCAAGGAATTAAGACCAATGCCAGGGTCATTGGCCTTCCTAAAAGAGTGATTCTGTTTTAATGCAAGCCAGTTGGTTTATATCGCAGACCCTTGGTCATCCTGCTCAATTTCTAGGAGGTGAGAGTAACTTACTACTCTGGGATGGGACACCAGTTGCCCACTATCATGAATGATCAACTCTATCATCCTTTGGGATCCACCCTAGCAAATGTTTCATCCTCTAATAGTCACTAGTCAGCTCCAGGTCAACCACCAGGTGTTCAACAGCAGGCTAGAGCAAAGAGCTGGCCCACAATGATCAAGCAAGTGCCTTTTTAAAAACTAATCTTAAGAAGTTTCTCTACATGGCTTTGCAAAGTAAGCAAAAACCATGCCAAATAGTAAAAAAGGCACTTACTTGACTCCCACAGGCCAGCTCCACACTCTAGCAGCTAAGATGTCACTGGCATGGTACATGGAGAGGGAGGTAGAAACGATATCTTGCCAACCACTGTAGGAATGGTAGTGAAAGACCTAAAAGAACAGAAAAAGTAAAGTCAATGTCAAAGGTAAAGGCCCTTCTGAACCTGCTGACATGGGTACTTCAGCAAATAATGCCAAAGAAAGTCTGGAAAGACTTCCTCTAGGTTATTCTTAGCAACTAGTTATTTCTGTGACCCTTAGGACAGGAGGGCACTTTTAAAAAGAATATAAATTATTGAACGCAGAATAAATCCAGATTGATCATGAAAAACCATAAAATATTTTATTTATTAATCTGAAATAAAGTTAAATATTTGATTACCACATGGTAAATAAAACTCAAACAGATGTAAAAATTGGGACTCTAAAGAAACTCATAAACTAATACTTTTAGAAATACTTTTAAATTAAAAAGGGAATATTTTTCACCCTATCTCTGTGCTTCCAGGAAAAAAACAAAACTGAGAGCTTTAGTAAACAATGAGGAAATAATCTTAATAAAAGGGGATTCTGACAGTAGATGTTTCAGGTTCACTTGCAAAACTTAGAAGTCTTGTGCACTTTAAAAAAAATCCAAAGAAAATGCAGAAAAAGAGCAACAGTGAAAAACAAAAACCCATTCTTAATCGTCTTAATCACTCTCTTCCTTCTGTCTAATCATTCCTTGGGGCAGGGGAATGCACTTCCTTTACTGGAGGTCCACTCAGCACCCATTCCCTCAGAACCATGGAAGAAACAAACTGGCAGCTGAGGCAAATCATTCTTGATGCTCTGGAATCTATCAAATAAAAAGGGCAAAGAGAATTTTTCATTCTGTTTAAGTTTTAGCCAAAAGACTATTCTTGCACAGTTTTTAATTCTAATATGCTTAAACTTGATCATTCTTTAACAGACAATCTAGAAGTTCAAACTGCCCAGGTCTCAATTTAATTAGAATGGGATATTCGCTGATGACAGCATATTTGGCCAGACTACATCTTGAGTGCTAAGTAACATTTTCTTCTGCGCTTTGGCGTGGGTTTGCCTTGCCTTAGCTGCCATCCCTGGAAAGCATCCCATTTATTAGTGTTTTCCCTGCTGCCTCAGCATTTCTGGTTAATGCACTATATATCAAATCATTTGGAGGGACAACCTGAATGAAGCTCCGCACTGTAGGTTTTGTAAAAATGCTCAAACTATTATCAAGGATGCTACAAATAAAAAACAAAAGCATGAAATTTAAAAGATAAAATTTTAGATTACTTTTTAAAATAATGACCACTACTCTGGAGGCAGAGATCAGGAGGATGGCAGTGTGGGGCCAGTCTGGGCAAAAAGTTAATAAGACCCCATCTCAACAAACAAGCTGGGTATGGTGGAGCATGCCTGTAACCTTGAGGGGCATGGGTAAGAGGACTGCAATCCAAGGCTGACCCTATCTGAAAAATAATTAGAACAAAAAGGGCTGAGAGTGTGGCTCAAGTGGAAGAGCACCTGCCTAGCAAGCTCAAGGCCCTGAGTTCAAACTCTATACCACTGAAAATAAATTAACTAAAACAATGAGAATTTACATGGGCTAATATACAAGATTTATAATTTAAACAAATATTTATTTCACACCAATGTAAAAAAGAAGTATCCTCATTTATTCCAGATCTCCTTTTTCTTTGGCTTGCTCCATAAAATCATGACAATTCAAGAAAAGTCTTTTTGCCATAAAAGGCACCATATCCTCTGCAGATAACTGTAAACACACAGAAATGAGTTAATGCCAACAAGTTTCCATTGTAGCCCATCTGCACTTGAACAATCTGAAGACTCAGTGGACTAAGCCAAGCCTTTGCTGCCGCAGCTCAGTACTCATGAGCTCACTGTGTTATAGCAGAAGCTCTTCTGAATTTTGCACAAGGCATGTTCATCTGGGGGTAAAATATTACCCTTCTCTGTCTTCTTGGAAAATCCAAAGGGTTTTCCCAGGAATATGACAAACAAGGAAACTGCATACCAAACAAGGAAATGGGCTTTTTTTGAAAGTCAAAACAACATCCCTAGTCTAACTTTTACAATGACATAACAGATTCCTCTTTGCTGTCCCTCAAAATATTCAGCTAAAACGACATTTAGTCTACAGGAAAATGACTAAATATATGGAATAGAGACAGAAATGCCACAAAGTAGTTAAAAATGAATGAACCAGAACCACATGTGTCCACTAAATCTTTTTGAAGTACTGAGAAAAAGAACAAACTGCAGAGGAAACATTCAGTGTAACACCTTGTAAATAAGGTTTTAAAACATGCTCGGAATACTATGTAAGAGTTATAGATTCATATACAGCAAAAGGATAAACACACATATGGATAGTAAATACCAAATTTGAGAGAATGTTACTTTTGGGACAGAGGATAGGAAATAAGACCTAGGAAGCAAATTTGGGGCTGCAATTACACTGTTTAATTTTTCAAAGCAAAGGATATGTATTACATTACTCCACTTGTTTTTATGGACATAACATACTTTATAGTTTAAAAAGAAAAGATATTTCCCTGTGTATGTCTGACTGAACTGAACATAACTTCCTTACAAAGGCTATCCCCAAGCCTTGCAAGAAAAAAGCCCTGTGGTGACAGAGTGGCCTTTCCAAGACAGCCTCTTTAGAAGCACACTCATCAGTTGTGTCTGTCTTTTCTTTCAGAAGTCCTGTGATTTTCTGATGTTGGCTGTGATGTGACCTTCGGATCCATAACTCAGGGCCTCAGCTTGTCTACTTTTAATCTTTCCAGAATTCTCATTTTAGGCAAGACATCTTTATAGTTAAAAGCACTAGCAATAACTAACAAGAAAGCCACTATATATTTAAAGCTCACCCAACTCTGTAGTACTTGGGTATGCTAAGAACTTGAAATCATTCTGAATCAAAGACCAATACAGAATGAGATATTCACTAACTCGAGTTCAGCTCTCCATTAAATAAATTAATATCCCAAAATTCTCTAACATGTTATACTAAAGTTCTCTTGGACCATTTTGACTGTGCTCAGACAACATTTTGTCTTGATATTTAGGTCGGATCTTAAAATTTCTTTTAAATATTTCATTTTCTTTGGGGTTAAAGTAAGACTAAACTGAAGAAACAAAACCAAAATACTAACTTTTATGCACATAAAGTCAGGTATGTGGATGTGAATATTGGAGTCCCCTTAAACACTACCACTTTGTGATCAGAAAATGAATTTTGCTGTCTATTCAGTAGCTTCTGACACCAGCACTCAAAGATCAGGGCAAGAGGGGCATGAGAAACTGACAGATCAAGACAAACATAAGCTGATATCCTTCTGTTTATGGGAGAAAAAAAAGAATTCCATCAAGAGCAAATGAAAAACATTCGATCTTCTCATTAGGTTTTTACCACTTACACTCCTTTCAATCTATCTTTAATACTTCTTTAAAATATTCTGACATCTGTATTCTGTTTCAAAATGAAAAATAGGTTTTATAACACTTGGCCACTTGCCATAGCCCTGATTCATGACAGCTAGCAGAATTCTGGCAGTGCAAAGGCACAGGATACAGTGGGGACAGAATGGAAATTCAGAAGGTTAGCTCCAAAATAAAACCTCCCCAAATCTGTCATCTTTGGAAAAAAAAAATTTGTGTGTGTGTGTGTGTGTGTGTGTGTGTGTGTGTGTGTGTGTGTATCTAAGAAATCTAGATCTGGCAGAACCTCTTTCAAATAGTTCTTTTCTCTTTTCTCAGTACCCTACACTGTCCAACTCCTACCAATATATGCCAGGTAGACATTATTGTACCAATTTCTTCTTGCTATTGTTTGGAGGGACAAAGCTGCAGGGGACGGAATCCAGGGCCTCAGGCATGATAAGCAAACACTCTACTTCTGAGTTATATCCCTAGCCCTATGTACCAATTTCTTAAATTGCTTTTTAACATAACAGTTCTATAATCTTTTCCCACTACTGTTATTTAGCCTTTTATATAGTTCTGCTTACTTCAGCAAAATGTGAACTGTTTTAAGATTATTAGCTGCTGCATTAATCAGAAGTCATTCCTTCATATTTCTATGATTTCCATCACGGTAATGTGTCAGCACAGGACAAAATCATCTACAGCTGCCATCCCTCAGAATTAAAGCACTTAGACAATAGTCTCTAGAACTGTTTACCTCACTGACTCTCATCCATCTAACAGTGACTGAATGTCTATGTTCTTGACACTGTACTAGGCTCTGTTTAGAGTTGGGCGAATTTATAGACTTCTAGTATTTATTATGAATACATAAATATTATGAGCAACTAATCACTAAGGTTTTTACACTGAGGATTCCAATAGTGTAAATAAAAAGGAAAACATTTTCTGTTTCAGACTGGAAGGCCACACTTAAAATTAACTTACTAGTACAGTTCCATCTTACTTCGACACTCCTACATTAAATGCTTGTCCCTTCTCCCAACTCTCTGGGCTCCCTACATTTTTACCTCTTCCACTGTTCCCTCAATGGTTGAGTTGGAAAAAAGACAACAGGAGAAAGATGGGACAAAAGGCATAATGAACTGTTGAAGGGGAAGAATACAGGGTAAACTGTCCATCAAGATGTCAGAAGCAATTTTGAAAGCTGTTCTAAAAAGGAACTAGAAGGCTGTTTATCTTTACTTCAAGCTCTTGCCCCTTTTGAAAATACTGATACCTGGGTTTGTGATTTTATACAAGCTGCCCAATGAGTGTAAAATAGAAATGAAACATGTCTCACAATTCAAAGAAGCCCTTTAGGTTCACTTATTCAAACATCCTTATTCAACTTACAAAATTGTTATGACTAAAGAGGTTAAATAACTTACCCAAGATCAAACAGCAAATTAATGGAAAAGAGAGGAACAGAACTCAGATTCCTGACTCTATGCACCTCTGTAACTCTCTTCACTTACTTACATTTATTTTGGTAGAACACACACACACCCTACTACCACCTCTTTGTTTATTTAACTATTTCAGAAAACTAACAAAAATACTGTGATGGTACAGCAGTCATTTGCTCATAAAATTTCATAAAGCTTACCAACAACACTGAAACATGACTTACTCTTTGGTAGAGCAAATATTACAACTTCTCTAAAAAACTATCAGTGTTATCAAAGAAACAGATACCTACTTCCATATTATAATACCTACAATACTGAAGAATGTATTCTTTCTAAATAAAGCAATTCAGTAAGGTACCTAGTCAACTAAAATGCGAAATGAGTCACTTCAAATAATTTGTTTTATTTGTATTTTTATACCTCTTGAGAAGACGGGGTAGCAGTAGCAGTAGGAATCTCATATTTATATAACTATTGTGGAAAGGAAGATTGCTAAGAAAAGGTTTCATGCTTAGGAATTGCTTAAGTTACAAAAAAAAATGGTCTTTTATTGCACAGTAAGGTGACCATATATATCATAATGTACTGTATTTGAATGTTTTCACCACATAAAAATAAATGCGGAAATAGATTCTTTTACATTTGAACATTATACAATGCATACATGTATCAAAGCATCACACAATACTCCATAAATAGGTACAATTTTTATGTATCAATTCAAAAACATTCTTAAAGACAAAGAATGATAAGACCATCATCATACAATGCTCAAAACAAGTTAAAGCTTTATTAAAGAGCTCTTTCTCAAATCATTTACTGTAAAATGGAATGTTAAAGAGAACAAAGTCAAAGAAAATTATGCCAAAGTACTCCTCTAATGAACATAACATTAAGACCTACTGAACAAAGCTTTGGAAACCTATAATACACAGAATGCAGTCTTTCACAAAGATCTGCTGAGTGCTTTTCATACTGTGTGTACCTTTTCATACTGCTGTGCAAATCTTCCAAATTCTATGGGGAAAAGAAGGGGAGGCAGGAATGTGAGAATAAGGTAAGCATCAGATTTGATAAATTTAAAAATCACTTGAAGTAACTAAAGCACAATGGAACATTTTTAAATATAAAATTAGAGGCATAGAAAAGACAACAAAGAAACATTTAGCATGACTATAAAAGGGAACACTTCAAAGATGATCAAGAAATAAAGTTTCAGTGCCTGAGTGATATTGAATTGAACTGCCCTTCTTCCTGGTAATAGCTAAGAGATAAGAACTTGGTGACTGGGCATGGACTATCAACTCTACTTATGAAGTGTCTCTCCTTTCTACTCCCTTTTCTCTATCCCCACTGCTACTGTCCTAGTTAGGCATCTCTTACCTGGACCACTGAACTGCCTCTTTACTGGTCTCTGCCTGTCTGGTTCCATCCTCTCTACCCTCCCCTCACATTGCTGCCAGTGTGAGCTACTTAAAAGCACAAACCTGATCAAGTAATTCTAATCCTTCAGCAGTTCATCTACTAACAAGCAGTATTTTTTTTTTTCAAACTGTGGCTTAAGTTGTAAAATCAATTTGAGGAGCTCTCCACCAGTATTTGTTGAATAAAACTGAACAAAAACTATGTTTGACTCATACACAGTAAATGTTATTTCATGAATTTTTTTAGTTTTACCTGTCTACAATGTGTACACATAAAGCATCATGATATAAACATACTTCTTAACAAACTTAAACAATTGTTTAAGTTTACAAAAAAAAAAAAAAAAAACACTGACATACAGAATAAAACTTCAACTCCTTCACAAGTCCCCTTGCCATCATGCAGTCTGACCCCTCCCCACACACAGTACAATGGTTAGGAGACAGACACTGGAGCCAAATTGTTTAGGGTGGTATCAATGTCCCTGCTCGATTTGCTAGCTGTGTGATCCTGGGCAAGGCACTTACTGTGTGTCACTCACTGCTGTAATCCTAGGCAAATCACTTAACCAATCTTAGGTAACTCAGTTCTACTATATATGAAGTGAAAGTAACAACTGTATCACATCACAGGTTAACTCAAGAATTTAGTGAGGTAATCAATGTAAAGTGCTTGGCACAAAGTATACTTGCTACATGCTAATTACCACTGGTACTGCTACTACCATCCAGACTCCAACTATCTTTTTTTTTTTCTTTGTGGAATTGGAGTTTGAACTCAGGGTTTTGAGCTTACAAAGCTTACACTACCACTTAAGTCACACCTCCAGTCCATTTTGCTCTGGCTATTTTTTGGAGGTGGGGTCTGGTAAACTATTTGCCCTGGCTGACCTTGAACCATAATCCTCCTAATGTCAGCCTCCCAAAAAGCTAGGATTATAAGAGTGAACTGTCTAGTTCCACAGATATTTCTGAATGACTCCAGTTTAATATTTCTAGGGTCTTTATTTTCCGTCTGTACAACGGGAGTAGTATTTTGCTTAAAGGACTGTTATAGAGTACACTAGAAATGTTTCATAAAACTGGCCAGTATAGAAGCAATACTCCATAATTACCAGGTCTGCTGGAACCATTTTGGCAGTCCAAACTAAATTAGCAAGATCCCCAGGAGGCAAATACCTTAAACTTCAGCCAGCTAATGCCTGGAGGGGAAAGTGGGAAAAATTTAAGAAATGTGGTCCATAAGAAAGACTTTAAGATCTCTTAGAAGAAAACTGTAGTAGATGCTTAGAAAGATAAAGGGCTAAAAAAAAAGTTCATGACACAGGAACAAATGAGCCTATCACATCCTCAATTTCCTCATCTATAAAACTTAGATAATGATACCTCTCGTAGGGTTAATGGTGAGAATTAAAAGAACTAGCAATACCCTCAGATCTTAAATGTTTTCTTCTAGCTCTATTTCCCTATTTATAGAGGCCAGTAGTTCAAGCTAACCTATTTGTTCTCTTGCTACTTGACAAATTATCAGTCACATTAACTTTCTCTGAACTAAAGTTTAAAGCAGACACAAATATTCTTATTAAATATCCTGTTACACCATTTACAAGGCAAGAAAAGAAGTATTCAGTATTCTCTTGTTACCTCTAAAACAGTGTAGTTTAGGACTGTATGTTTCTGACTGTCCTCTGAACAGTCTCACATACCTAATGGGCTCCTCGGCAATTTTGTGGTGATAGTAACATGTTTTCTCCAAATGATAAAATGGACAATAAATACCAAGAAAAAAATATGTAAAAACTGCAACTTTAGTAACACACATGAAAAAGTAAACATCGTACTCTCCTGGATTAATAAATAATGGCTAATGTCATTAAAGAACCTTTGGGAAAGGCTCTTACTATTGAGATGTCAAAATGTAATTTCACTATCCAGTCATTCTAGAACTGCATTAGAAAAAGTTTAGCTTTAGCATACTATTAGACCTAGTTGGTGATGTAATTTACCAAGTTATATTTTTATTAACATAAAAGATTTAAACCCATTCACAGTTTGTGGGCTAATAACTCACTGAACATTAAAATTAATTTGCTTGAAGTCAACTTTCATTTTTACATACACTGCCTTTGCAAGCATTTAACAATGCAATCAAATAAATAAATGCAGTTTCCCTTTTGTTTTCAACCAGCAGAGGACAGATTTTTTTTTTTTTTAAATACATGTCCTCAAGCTTGATCTATATCAGAGAGTACTTATTCAAGACTGAGTTTGAGTTTAGCTACTTTAAGAATTTGACCCCAGGGCTGACGGAGTGGCTCAAGTGGTAAGAGTGCCTGCCTTGCAAGTGTGAGGCCTGAGTTCAAACCCCAGTGCCAAAAGAGAAAAAAAGAATTTTATCCAATTCACTTTTTAAATCCAATCTTCGCAATTTAAAATGAAGTGATTTAACAGGAAAAGAACTGGGCAGGTAAATCAGTATATATGCAATTCATTTTCAGCTCTGTATTATGAAAAAAGTCATTTCATCACTCTTGCACTTTCTTCCTCAATAGCTACTTCAGAACTACAAGTCTAGGACTCTTTGACGTACATGCCTTCTACAGTAACATCTTAGTTTTCCTAATAACATGTTATTCTAGTAATTCTAATTCATCCATGAGCCCTTTGTTTGGCAGTAATCAGTCAAATTAAGGGCAAAAAATTCAAAAGTTGAGACCTAACTGAGCAGATAGCCTGAAATATTTAAAAGGTAATATTGACTTAATCACAGAAAAACAAACAGTAATTTTAAAGAAAGGCTGGAAGGGTGCAAAGTTAGATTGCAAAAAGAATTAAAAACAGAGCTCTGGTTCAAGTAGTAAAGTGCCCTAAGTTCAAACCCCAGTACCACCAAAAAAGGAAGGAAAGAAGAAAGGAGGGAGGGAGGGATACAGAGCGGGAGGGAAAGAAGTAGGGAAGGAGGGAAGGAAGACATCCTACAATTTAACAGATAATGATATCAATATCAACTGCTATTGCAGAAGATCTTGATTTCTAACAACAGGCAGTTCCTAAACAAAAATATTTAGCTGTCAATTTATTGTCTTTGATATACCATTCTTGATGCTGCATTTTCTATTTAGAGTTCCTTTTGGAGTAATGAGTTCCATTATGCAGGAAATAGAGCCCCTTGGGACTTAGGAAAGTTCATAGAATCAGAATTTGTTGGGTAAACCCAAGTTCATTCACCCAAATATTTTACAAGTTTGAAAATAAGATTTTAAGATGAATAAAAGGATGGCTGCTTCCTTAAAAATAAACATATTTATACAAAACATATAAACATATTTATACAAGACCCTTGAAATCCTAATATTATAATAAAATAAAAAAACAAATTCAGAATATGATTCAAGCATATATTTATAATAATCTGGGTAATTATCATACTTTTGCTGACTACAGACAGCATAAATCCACCATAAAGAAATGTAATATACGCTTGGTGCTGGTGGCTCATGTCTGTAATCCTAGCTACTTGGAAAACTGAGATTGGGAGGATCAAGATTCAAGGCCAGCCCTGGCAAATAGTTTGAAAGACCCAACCTCCAAAATAACCAGAGCAAAAAGGACTGGAGGTGTGGCTCAAGCAGTGGAGCATCCGCTTTGCAAGCACAAAGCCTGGAGTTCAAACCCCAGTCCCACCAAAAAAAAAAAAAAAAGAAAAAAAGAAAAGAAACGAAACGAAACGTAATATGTAATCAACTGTCACTGGCAATACCAAGATTTAAAAAATTACTCAAATCTGGCTTCCTAAGCAACAGGCTACTAAAGAAGTCAAGGGGTGGGGATAAGACATACAGATATACATCTTATCTCCCCAGTAACGTAAAGTGCCCAGAAATGAAACATTTAGAGTAGATTACAAATCACTGTCAATCTGCATCCTGAAGATAATAAATCCATCAGAATTCGGAGGGAACAGAATAGAACAGAAAGGGATTAAGAGGCAGTAATCACACAAGTAAAGATTCAAGCTAGGACATTTTTTTCAGTACTGGGGCTTCAACTTGGAGCCTATGCCTTGAATCACTCCACCAGCCCTTTTTATGAAGGTTTTTTTTTTTTTCCCCCCTCAAGTCAGGGTCTCACCAACTATTTGCTCAGACTGGCTTCAAACCATGATCCTCCTGATCTCTGCCTCCTGAGTAACTAGGATTACAGCTGCAAACCACTGGCACCCACCTCAAACTAGGACCTCTTGAACCCACCTGTGTTTTAACAAATTTTAATCCCAGGTCTATTATTTACCACAAACATAACCTAACAAGTCGCTTCCCTCAATTTCCATTAGGGCTATGAAGTAAGGATGTTTGGTTCAAGAGGAGTTGTAGGTCGTAATCTTCATCCTGAAATGGACCTTAGGTTACAGGAGTGATTGAGGGTGATTAAGGCTGAAATTCAAGTATAAAACTGCATAGAGTATTAGTATGTAAACATATGGGACATTCAGGGACAGTACTGAGACTGGCTTGAGTACAATAGAGTATTTGGGCTGGGATAGATCTGGCAAAGGAACAACAGGCCAGACCATAGAAATTTGATTAAAAAATTGGTTTGGGCCTGGCTTGTGGTGCATATCTATAATCAGCACTTGAGAGAATAGTGGAGGATAGTGAGTTCCAGGCCAGCCTGGACTGCACAGTGAGACTGTCTCAAAAAAAAAAAAAAAAAAAAAAAAAACCCTAGGACTTGTATGTCAGGCAAAGTAACTTCTGTTCAAACTTTCAGGTTAAGTGTTGAAACAGTATCCCTGCCAAGGAACTCAGGTTAAGTGTTGAAACAGTATCCCTGCCAAGGAACTCACAATGTATAGAAAGAGACTGCCACAAACTTTAACAGTACAATGATAGACTTAACTCAGCACAGTGGTCGATCACTAGGAAATGTCAACACTCAGGCTATCATAATCAGAGATGAGACAGTTTGATAGTTTGATTTAGCCAAGGAATGACACGGCCCACAATGAAAGTCAGTTCCCCTTGAAAGAATCAGCCTAGAAAACAGCAGCCCGATTCACTAACCATACAGAAAGGCACACAACAAATGGTCTTAGTTATAGTCTCAAGTTGGAGGCTCTTTACTCAGAAAGGGAAAAATTACACTGCATGGCGCTAAAAATACTGAAAAGGCCCCTGTACCTTTATACCTATTCAACTGAAAGGTGTTTTAAAGCCAGATACATTGGTGTGCACCAGGAGTCTCACCTATCTGGGAGACGGAGGCTGGAAAACAAGAGGATCTCTTGATACAAGAGTTACAGGCCAGCCTGCACTACAGAGTGAGACCCCCCCATTGCCTCCCCCCACCACACACACACACACAAAAAGATTTGAAAAAAGGAACCCTCTTACACTGTTGGTGGGAATGTAGACTAGTACAACCACTCTGGAAAAAAATTTGGAGGCTACTTAAAAAGCTGGACATCG